TAGGGTTTAGGGTTTAGGGTTTAGGGTTTAGGGTTTAGGGTTTAGGGTTTAGGGTTTAGGGTTTAGGGTTTAGGGTTTAGGGTTTAGGGTTTAGGGTTTAGGGTTTAGGGTTTAGGGTTTGGAGTTTCTGGAGTCTAGGGTTTTAGGGTTTGGGGTTTAGGGTTTAGGCTTAATCGCTGGGTTGGCCTTTACACGCTTTGAAAAACCATTGCATGCAGGCCCTTATCAAACCCAAAGAAGGGACAACATATCCCCAAAGCCAACTTAGTTCGGTGGTGAGTTGGAAGCACACATCGTGCAGACTTGAATGTACGATCTAATCTAACATACTATCTGTAAAATATTATCTAGGGTCCATTCAAGTAGCCACCAGTTGAAGGCCCCTAATAAGTATAATATAGTTAACAATATGATCTATAAAATAGTCTTATGTAGGGTTATCCCCCCAAAAAAGTAGCGGAAGGTCGTTCTTGGGCCGCGGAGCGCTTAGGGTTTGGGGTTGGCTTACTTCAGGAGAGGTGAAAGGGGAGCGATGGCGTAGTTGGGGCTTCTGAGGCTTCTGTGGAGGAGGTCGAGGCCTGGAGAGCTCTCAACAGAGTCCCGCTGCCGGTTTAGGGTTTAGGGTTTAGGGTTTAGGGTTTAGGGTTTAGGGTTTAGGGTTTAGGGCTGCTTCTGATAGGGTTTGGAAGATTTGGAGTTCAGGCGAAGGGCGGCGGTGCGATGCCAAGTGCTCGAAGCCCTAAGCCTTCAGCGAACGGGGGAAATCATCAATGGGCTGCGAACGATGCGCCCAGGGTGGCCTGGGGATGTTCCCCCTCATATTAACAATCCTTTATAGTACCCCCTACTATTGTCCCTACTAAGGACTGTTAGTATAATGTAAGGGGGAACATCCCAAGGTGGGGCAGTGTGTCAGGGCATATCATACTGGTGCAAGCCTTCTTCAACCCTTCTTCTTGGTGATTTCACACCCGCTCCCTTGCACGGGTAACAAAGCCTCAGCTCCCTTTTTACCTTGGGTATTACATGAAGCCTGACAGTGGCTTCCTGGGCCCCACCCCTAGACCCTAAACCCTAAACCCTAAACTCTAAACCCTAACACCCAAACACGCTGCTGAAAGACCTCTGAGAGAACCATCTTCTAGTGGTGCAACCTGCACGAACTCCTGAGCAAAGCTGGGGGCACACACGCCGAGAAATTCATTCCATGTCGATCGCCCGTGGCCTCACAGCGCATGCGCATCGCGAGTGTGGTCAGCTGCTCTTTAAGGGTCCATGTATCTCAGTGGCATGTACTTTGGCCTTAAGGGGGTTCCCGTATAGTGGCTTTAGGGTCCGAGTGTATACTAGACTGGTACATGGACCCTTAAGGCTGCATCCCCATGCCATCTCCACCGCAATCCTCAGCATCATCGTCACCACAATCCAACTCCTCCGCCTCTTCTTCCTCTTCCTCCTCCTCATCCCCTCCCCCCCCCCCACCCCCAAACCCTAAACCCCAAACCGTAAAACGTAAACCGTAGACCGTAAACCGCGGAGCAACAAATAATTAAGAGCGTCTCCGAGCATCGCAAAACTCGCCCCCACCTCCCCGTTCGTTCGACACCGTCCTCTTCAGTGTTTAGGTTAGGGATTTAGGGTATAGCGTATAGGCTTTAGGATTTAGGGCATAGGTACAGGGTTTGGGGTTTAGGGTTTAGGGTTTAGGGTTTTGTAATTTGTTGGCCCGTTGGCCCTCTCTGGGGCCACAACTGAGACATGTGCACGTCTTGACTACCTCAAGAACCCCAATCTACATGTTTGTAGGTTGCCTACGAATCCTAGAAGGGGTTGGAGCCTACTAAAAGAAAGTAGGCTTTGGGTTCTTGAGGTATGTACCATCTTCCTGCGCATGGTTTCTGTGGCAACCTGGAGCAGCAGAAGCACCCACCACCAGCATCACCGCCATCACACTCACGATGTAATATAGGGGCCTGAATAATTACAATAAGGGTTTGGGGGTGATTATAGTAAAATTACAGAGGGGCCATAAGGGAATATCACTAGCAACTACTCCGACCTCCCCCCCCCCCCCAAATGACTCGCGGGCATGGAGGTGCTGCGGATGCGCGACATGAGGCTAAGGTGGAAGCGAATGAGAATGACCTCCTTGGTCCTTGCCGGAGGTGGAGGGCCGGGGGGGGGGGGGGGGGGTGAGGGCAACCCCCAAACCCTAAACCCTAAACCCTAAACCCTACACCCTAAACCCTAAACCCTAAACCCTAACCCCAAAACCAAGGGAGTTGGGGGGGCGAATGGGCCGCCGTGGAGGGGGCGATGGGCTTGGTACTGCAGTATAGTCTTCAGGTGTCGCCTGAAACTCAAAGCTCATGTCAAACAGGACTGTCAGGGTTCAGAATTTAGGGTTTGGGGTTTAGGGTTTGGGGTTTAGGGTTTAGGGTTTGGGGTTAGGGTTTGGGGTTTAGGGATTAATGATCCATATTTGTCAATATCATCGGCCCTCTGGAGCCCTGTAAAAATAAAAAAAGTACCCAGACAGGCCATGCGAAATTGAAGAGGCCTCCATTCTCCGGGTTGGCCTTCTCAAACCCTTAAAGAAAAGGTGTGTGTATAGGGTTTAGGGTTTAGGGTTTGGGGGTCCCTTATGAACCCCAAAGAAGGAAAACATACCAAATACCCTTTAAGAAATATTCGTATTTAGGGCACCAATTTATAAACCCAAAGAAGGAAAACATAACAAAATATCCCAAGAGCACCTAGTTCGCAAGAGGGCTGAAGACGAGCGCGCGCGTCCTCCATTCAATGTTTGCAGTCCGCGACGTCCGCGAAGGGGAAGACTGTCCGTCGTCGGAACCTGCTGGCGCTACAGCCTTATGGGGTTCAGAGGGTTTACAGGGTTCCTATGCCCTAAACCCTTCGTACGCCTAAACCCTAAACCCCTTTTACGCCTAAACCCTAAACCCTCAACCCTCAACCCTAAACCGCAGAGGGTCTTTTCAAGTCAGAGGTGGCCCTGTAAGACACCTGATATTCAAGTCGTGTGCAGAGTGTTCTTGCAGGGGGGCTCGAGGATTTTGCCGTGGAAGTTTTGAGGCTGCCGGCATACATGCAACTTCTCAGAAGTCACATCACGCAATCGCAGACTACGTAAACCCTAAACCATAAACCCTAAACCAGTTTGGGGGAATTCGGGACTGCTGGGAATTCAGGACACTTAGGCTACTTCTCTAGCTTCTGAGATATTCGGATCAGGGGCATAGCGCGGGCTTCAGGCCCTAAGGCGTTCTGCCTCCAACGTTGGCCCGAAACCCTATAACCCTATCCCTAAACCCTAAACCCTAAACCCTAAACCCTAAAAACCCTAAACCCTAAACCCTTCTTTAAGGCGCTGGCGCACGTCCGAGCAGGCCGCCGAAGGCGAGGAGAGGGAGGGTTGGGAGAGTCCCGACCTCGGGGCTGGTTCATGGGGTTTGGGGTTTAAGGGTTCAGGGGTTTAGATAGGGTTAGGGTTTAGGGTTTAGGGTTTAGGGTTTAGGGTTTAGGGTTTAGGGTTTAGGGTTTAGGGTTTAGGGTTTAGGGTTTAGGGTTTAGGGTTTAGGTTTTAGGGTTTAGGGTTTAGGGTTTAGGGTTTAGGGTTTAGGGTTTCGGGCTAGGGTTCAGGGTTTGGGGTTTCATGGTTAAGGAGGGGCTCAGGATTTATTGTGCTTAGGAGTTGAAAGGGTTTAGGGCTCCCGGTGAGTGGGATGCTGATACATCGATGGAATCTAAGCCCCCCTAGAGAAGTTCGGCTTAGAAATTGCTACTAACGCTTCGCCGCTCGCATAGCTGTACGTCTGATTCGAAGGTTCAATACATGCAAAAAAAGGCTGCCGACCCATCACAACAGCGCCCCGAATACAAACTCAAACTGCCAGTCTCATGACTTGATTCGGCTGGCAAGCTGCAATCGTCGAACTCAGAAGCGACTGCAACAGTTGAGGGCTTACTATAGGGGCATCAAAAACTAGAATAAGGTCTTGGAGGGTTATGATAGTAGAATTACAAAGGAAACCCTAAACCCTAAACCCTAAACCCTAAACCCTAAACCCTAAACCCTAAACCCTAAACCCTAAACCCAAAAGTAATCGCTCGCTCTGGAGCATCCACTGAACCACGTGAAACAGCTGCACCCATGGATCGGGACTCAAGCTTCAGGCTCAGACCATAACTGTGTTCCGACTGCTCGGAAAGGGTTTAGGGTTTAGGGTTTAGGGTTTAGAGTTTAGGGTTTAGGGTTTAGGGTTTAGGGTTTAGGGTTTAGGGTTTAGGGTTTAGGGCCTAGAGCCTAGGGTTTAGGGTGGGATTTCCGGGACCATGAACCCTCAGTAGTTACAGAGTTCTAAGAACGAGGAAGAGGCCTCTTCGGGCCACTGGCCCCTTTGCCTTTGCCCCTCCTTCTCATTCTCCCGTCCTCACCCTAAACCTAAACCCTAAACCCTAAACCCTAAACCCTAAACACTAAACCCTAAACACTAAACCCTAAATCCCTACATCGGGCACGGGCGTCGCCTCTCTTTGGACGCACGCAGCCCGAAGTCCTTGACACGTCCGGGTCGGCTCAACAGACCGCACCCTACTTTGGAGTAGACCCTGAAAAAAAAAGGTTTGAGGGGATTTAGGGTTTAGGGCTAGGGTTTAGGGTTTAGGGTTTAGGGTTTAGGGTTTAGGGTTTAGGGTTTAGGGTTTAGGGTTTGGGGTTTAGGGTTTAGGGTTTGGGGTTTAGGGTTCAGGGTTAGGGTTGATAGGTGATGTAGGATTGGGGGGACCCTTGGGGTATATTGACCCTCTGAATAAGGACCGTCATTTTTAGAGAGCCTGTTAAGGGTCGCCCTTATCCTACCTAGGATATATATATATATATACTTTTTAGGTATACGTATAGCTATAATCGGAACCCAGAACCAAAAAACCTATTAAAGCATAGTACTCAGTACTCCAAAACCCAGCGCAGGACTGTGCCTTCAAAAGTCCCAGCATGTGCCCAGCAGGCAGAGTGTCCATGACTTTGGCCGCCGCGGGTGCAGGTAGAAATCGTCAACCTGGCAAAGGAGCTGCTCCAGACAGCCACGCAGACCTTCAGTGCAAACAGCCAGCGCCAGAATGATCAAGGCAAAGTGAAGTCGGGGCAATCTGCAGAGGTCCGGCCTCATGCGCACCACAAGGAACTCACAAACACAAATCCCGGGCACTGCTATCAAGGTGAGGCCGCCCCTCAAGAATGTCACGGCTGCAGCCGAGCACAAGATCAGCAGGAAAGCTGGCAGCATATCTGCCCCTGCACCTCCCAGCACGAGGACTGCCCCCTTTGCTGCGAGGGCGAAGGCCACCGTCTCACTTGAGGGCGAATACAACAGGATCCTCCAAGGCCACACGTGCGAACCGAGGCAGCTCCCGTATTCCCAACTGAGAAACTCTCTCGGATTTGCAGGGAGCATCATCGGGGCGCCAGCAAAGATGTCTTTCTGCAGTGGTAGCAGGGCATCTTTCGGAAACGTAAAGTCTGCGTGATCGTTGACTCGCTCCCACCACTCGATGCCGGAGTACCTCTGATCCTGCTGCCATGACCGGTTCGACTTGACCGGCGCATAGGCGAAAATGTCGATGCAAACGCCAGTTTTTGGGTGAGCAATGCGGCCGACCATTCGCTTGTTGTCACCATCGCAATCCTCTTCGCAAGCGCATGCGAACTTGAGAACAACCAGGTCTTCTCCAACTGCTTTGCGCAGGGATTCCTTGCTGGCACCAGCACGAACGCAGTCAGCTTCGAGGATGCCAAGGTCACCATCAGAGTCCCACGGCAGCTGCGATCGGTTGTGCCTCAGCCACCCTATCAACCCAGCAGATTCCAGGAAGGCCGGCACACCGACAGTCTGCAAGGCTTGGGCGGTCGCATGCGTTGCAAATGTTAACGCCTCCAAGCGGTCTCTCTGCAGCATGGAGGGTTGCCAGTACTCTGGTGCAAAGTGCTCCTCGGTGTTGAAGAGCGGGTGCAAGACGCTTGCCTGGAGCAGCTCCTCCTCGGAATGGACAGCCCAGTCTTTGGTGCTGTAGTAGAGCCCCCCAACCTTGCTGTTGGTTAGATATACATATATACCCTTTAAGGGATAAGATAGGGTATACCTCATTCCCTCATTTCCTACTAACCACCAGTAAGCAACAAAAAGGCAGCAGGCGAAGAGCACCGCGTAGACGAAGATGACCACTGGCCAAGTGACCTCGGCCTGCGCAGGAGTCTGCGGATTGCGAGCCATTAGAGCTGCACTGGCTCTATGCGAGGCTTTGGGGCAGGGGCTGTTTGGCCCCTAAACCCTAAACCCTAAGCCCGAAACCCTAAGCCCTAAACCCCAAACCCCAAACCCTAAGCCCTAAGCCCTAAGCCCTAAGCCCTAAACCCTAAACCCTAAACCCTAAACCCTAAACCCTAAACCCTAGCTGCGTACAGTCAGACAGTGAGGTGAAGACGACCTGAGCTTGCTGTTGAGTCTTGAGCCTTAGGGCTGCCTGGTAGACAAAGGCTCTCGCGTGTCGGGGTGAAGGGTTTGGGTTTTAGGGTTTAGGGTTTAGGGTTTAGGGTTTAGGGTTTGGGGTTTGGGGTTTGGGGTTTGGGGTTTAGGGTTTAGGGTTTAGGGTTTAGGGTTTAGGGGTTTAGGGGTTTAGGGTTTGGGGTTTAGGGTTTGGGGTGTTTCAGGATAGGGCATTTCAAAGTCCTCGTAAGCTACTTAGTTTAGCTGGATCTTTGTGACCCACTGACAGCTTTCCCCCTTTTCTCACCCTAAACCCTAAACCGAAACCCCTAAACCCTGAACTCGTAACCCTAAACCCTAAACCTCAAACCATAAACCCTAAACCCTAAACTCGAAACCCCAAACCGGTGCTTTACGGGTCGCAAAGGTAGGGCCTGAGCCGAAGTCACACCTGACAGACATCCCTCGAGCCCTTGCTTCTTCCGCCCGCTCAGCAGGGTTTAGGGTTTAGGGTTTAGGGTTAGGGTTTAGGGCACTGGTTCTCTGGAAGTTACTTGAAATGTGTGTCGCATTCGATCGCCTCTCAACTGAATCACCCCACCCAAGCCCGAAGGGCATTGCATTCTGAAGCAATGGGGCTTTGGATGGTCTAGGGTTTAGGGTTTAGGGTTTAGGGTTTAGGGTTTCGGGTTTAGGGTTTAGGGTTGAGGGTTCCGACTCTCACGCTCGCACAAGGCCGGCAAGGCATCGGTTGGTAGGTCACGAAGTCTGGTGTGATACACGGAGATTCCTTTTCAAGCTCCGCTGTCCAGCCCTCGTTTCGGGTCTAGGGTTTAGGGTTTAGGGTTTGGGGTTTAGGGTTTGGGGTTTAGGGTTTAGGGTTTAGGAAATGGTACAGCCCACAACTCCCGACAAGCCGGGCCACAAAATGTCCAGCACGTCGTCGCTGGCCATGCTATTTCCACATGAGAGGTTATACAAGCCGAGGCTGCACTGGCACTTTGGATAAATAACAAATAAATATAAATACAAATATAAATATAAATATTTAAATAAATAAACATATATATATATACATATGTGTTAGTGCTGTGTACATTCTTCCTGCCGGCGTCTTATTTCGAGCATCGCCCTGCCACGTACGGTGCAATCCATGGTTCACTCCACTTTGCCGGGCGCGTCCGCGGGCTGCGGTATGCAAAGCTGCCAGGTCATCGTTCTCCTGTAGCCCTCAACCCCAAGCCCTCCAACCCCCTTGTGTGGGAGGGTTTCTTGCAGTTGGGGCATTGTTCCATGGGGTTCATAGCAGAACTTGTAGGGTTTGCAGTCTGGCGCTCCGCGGGGAAGAACCAAAAAAACAGGTAGCAGAGCTTGCAAGAACGAAGCAGGCATCTTCAAATCGTCAGGCACTAGAGGCCGATACTTCAAGGTTCAAGACTTATTCTAACTGATGTCTAAGACTATACAGTAGTACCCTCATATTTCGAAGCACTTATATACTTTATGACCTATACGAAAAGACTCTGTCGTCATGAAATTGGAGAGGTGTAGGATGGAACTCATAGCTTCAGGACAACATATTCTTTAAGGATCCCTCTATTTAGTATATACTTGGGCCTTTAAGGGCGTCCAATAAAATGAGTAGCTAAAAGGTCCAAGTATACCTTAGATAAGTACATGGACCCTTGGGGATTACTTACCCAAGGGCTTGAGTCTTTGCGGGTGGATGGCTGCAAGAATGGAGCAAGGGCAGTTCTACAGACCCTCCCCTAAACCCTAAACCCTAAACCCTAAACTCCAAACCCTAAACCCCAAATTTGCTCTCTGAACCTTAAGCGCCTTGGAGGATGTGGAGAGCTGAGGTTTTCATACTTTAGGGTTTAGGACTTGGAGTTTAGGGTTTAGGGGTTAGGTTTTAGGGTTTAGTGTTTAGGGTTTAGGCTTCTTCTGCCACGCGCCTAGCTGACTCAGAGAGACGCACTGCAGGGCATGCCACATGCAGGGTTTAGGGTTTAGGGTTTAGGGTTTAGGGTTTAGGGTTTAGGGTGACCGACTCATCAGACGCACCTTTTCAACGCGTGGCATCCCTAAAGCGCTTTGGCGGGGGGTCCTGCCTGTGAGGACCTATCGACGATTCGACTTTTGGATCCTGCCGCACTGCACAACCCTAAAACCCTAAAACCCTGAAACCCTAAACCCTAAACCCCAAGCTCTGGTGTAATGTGCTGCTCTGGGTCTGAATCCAGTTCAAAATCTTGTAGTCCTTCTCCTCCAAGCTATGATTTTTTGGCTTAAAGCCCGCCGAACACCAACACAATAACGTACAGCCCAGTATAAACCCCTTCTCTACCCACAACAAGTCAGGTTGTGAGCTACGAAGACTCACACAGCTGGAGTCATACTTGGGTTCTGAGTACCTCAGCCCTAAACCCCAAGACCATCTAATCAGGTCATGAAGATCGCATGACGTACGGCTCCGGTTCCCATGTGCCTACATAGGAGATACTTGGCCCCTTAAGCTGCTAGGTGGGAACTTGTGGGAACCTCTTGAAAGGGCCCAGTACATACTGTATAGGTCCAGAGAGCCCAAGATCCCTGAAGGAATACACCTTGATTCATACAGGGATCCTTACTATGATCTAAGGAAAAACTCCTTAGTTAAGGGGTATTGGGCCCTTTGGGTACATGGACCCTTAAGGGTTGCAACTCGGCTAAACCCTAAACCCTAAACCCTAAACCCTAAACCCTAAACCCTAAACCCTCAACCCTAAACCCTAAACCCTAAAGCCCAGAGTAGGCAGATCCGTATAAAATGGAGCATGCCGCCCCGACTTTTCCACAAGCTACCGCTGCGAGGTGTTTCGGCGTCGCAGCTTGGGCCAAAAGTCAGTCGACTGCTGGTCGGTTGCAGACTTCGGATGTCGGGGTTTAGGGTTTAGGGTTTAGGGTTTAGGGTTTAGGGTTTAGGGTTTAGGGTTTAGGGTTTAGGGGTTTAGGGTTTCGGGTTTAGGGTTTAGGGTTTAGGGTTTACGGTAGGGGTATAGGGCTCCAGTGCTTAAATGAGGCGTAGGGCCGGGTTACCAGGGGTTCGGGTTGAGGCTTTTGGGGTTTTGGCACGGTAAGTTGTCACTCGACTCTTCGGGGTGGGCTTGCGAACTTTTGCGAACCGCTCAGCAGACGGAGATATCGAGATCTCTGTGGATCTAATTAGGCCTTGGCCTCTCCAATTTTCATGCAGCAGCCGACCTGGAGAGGAGCAGCCACACGTCTAAGCATTACTGTGATTTTCTTGGTTTTATTGTGCTTTTAGTTTGTGCTTATTAAGAAAGTCTTATGGTCCCCGTTCTCTTAATATTCGGGGCCATGAGCCTACGCCGTAGGGCCGGCCTACGCTGGTGGCCGCATGAAAACACTGCAGGCGTTGGTTGCTTAAGCCCTCGTAGCCCGTGGATGTGGCGAATACTTGCCGCTCGAAGCCTTGGGTGGTTTTTCAGGTTTAAGGCGCAGATCTATGCACTGAGACCCTAAACCCTAAACCCTAAACCCTAAACCCTAAACCCTAAACCCTAAACCCTAAACCCTAAACCCTAAACCATGCAATCTGTTTCGAAGATCTCTTGGCATTCCGGAGTCTAGCGGGCTTGGAAGTTCATGGATACGATTTGCTCAGCCCAAAAGGGCCCCAAGCTTGGCGGTAAGCTGGCATATAACGGCTGTAGCCTGGCTGACTTCTGAACCCCTCCTAAAACTTTAACTTTTAGGCTCCTTTTTGTAGTTGCTTCAAAAGCCCAAAAGGTTAAAGTCCCAAGAGCCAGGTTAAAGTCCTAAGCGGTAGTCACCCTACCTTGTCTAAACTGCCCATGAACCTCCAAGCCTCAAGCACTCTGCCCCTGAAACCCTTGCGGCAGCCTTGGGGTAGCAGACCAGGCAGCATGCGGCGAGCAAAGCCGGCACCTCTTCTTCGCAAGGCATGTTGCTGAGCTATAGCGGACTTGACATGGGGTCTAAGATGGGTTTAGGGCTTCGAAGAGGACTTAACCCTAAACGCTAAACCCTAAACCCTAAACCCTAAGCACAAGACCCTGACATCAGGGTTCGTAGCCAGTCTGCCAGATCAAGTATCTTGCTCTGGCGCGTGCTAAAGCTGCTAAACAAGAGATGTACTTTGATTCATACCTGAGACAGGACGGACCTTCTGGTACTTCAGGGCCAGAAAGCCCTAACCCTAAACCTTGAACCTTATACACCCTGAACCCTAAGCCTTTCAACCACTAATCATAAGGGGCAGTAAGTGGAGGGCCTCAGCGTCGCATGGCAAGGCGATGGCCTCGACCAAGCAGCAGCATTGGCCCTGCCTCCAGGTTTAAAGGTTAGGTCTTAGGGTTTAGGGTCTAGGGTTTGGGGTTTAGGCTTCTCTGTAGGCACTCTCTGCAACAGCAGGTAGGATTCAGGGCTCAGGGTGTACGGTTTAGGGTTTGGGGTGTAGTTCTTGCGGCTTGGGGTGTGGCGTTTAGGGTTTTGAGCCTGTAGGGTTGCATTGCGCTCGTCCGGCTATATCGCTTGTAAAACGGCTCTTGAAGCCTTGGGGACGATGTGAACACTAAAAGGATTTTATGGTTCATATTCCATACTAAGATGTATAGTCGTATAGGGTATATGACTTGGGATGTTCCCCCTTATACGAACAGTCCTCAATAGGGATTATAGTACCCCCTATGATAGTCCTTATTAGGACTGCTAGTATGAGGGGGAAAATCCCGGCATATGACCCCTAATTTTAGGGTTCA